CCCTAAACCGCCTAAACCCTAAAACCCTAAACCCTAAACCCTAAACCCTAAAACCCTAAACCCTAAGCCCTATTTTTTGTCCCCAGGTTCATGACCATGGGAGCACTGGTCATGGGGCATCTTGGCCTTGATCCTTCAGGGCGAAAGGTTTGGAAGCATCGCGGGTTTAGGGTTTAGGATTTAGGGTTTAGGGTGGGTTTAGGGTTTAGGGTTTAGGGTTTAGGGGAGGGTATTTAGGGTTTAAGGTTTAGGCTTAAAGGTTGAAAACCTAAACTCTTAAACCCGAAACCCTAAGCTTGAAGGTCTCAAGATTTGGTAGTGGAGGGAATTGGGGTTTCAGAGTTTTGTGGACCTCGGGCCTTTTGCTTGAGAGGATTTTGCGACGTCTGGGTGCAGAGGGCCGTCCAGATGACTACATGTGTTCACGTTGTTTGTCTGGGTTCGGTTCAGGGAATCTGTCACTAGGTCAAGACTGTGCATGCATGAGTCTGTAGTGTCGGGAATGAACCACTGGTAGACCAGAGGCTCCATATATACTACCACTATGGAATTAGGCCCCATCATAAGCTCATCCCTATCTGGTCTTAAGGACCCATTTCCATCATGGTAGTATTTATGGAGCCTCTGGGTAACGCAGTCTTATTCTGGCTCATCGTTTGCATGGTCATAGCTCCGGGCTTTGATCCGTCACTCGGCTTGTGTGCCTTCGAAAGTGTGAAGGAAGCTTCTGGCGGTTTAGGTTTTAGGGATTTAGTAATAGGAGTTAGGGTCTACTGGGTTTTTCATAATCCAGGCATGATGCTACGACGAGTACACTGAGTACAAATCCATTGCATGCCGAGTCACGCAGGGTCGCCCTTAGTGAAGTTGCCGGATGCATGCTAGATCATGTTCGCTGGAAGAAGAGGGTTCTAAGCCGGCTTTCCAGCAATTGCGGTTACCTATCCCTTCGGCTGTCCTGGAGTATTCAAAATTAGCTGTCAACATGCACGTATGTGTTTGTAGACTGTCGACGGGTGTGCATGAATCTAGAACTATGCAGAGGTCTGGATCAATCCGGTCTGTACATATAGAGACTAGCCGTATGCGTTAAATGCTTTTTTGCTTCCAGACGTAAAGGGGGTTTGCGTCGGTACTTGGGCCGCAAGCCCTAGCCACCATGGGGCTTGGACAGCCCGAAACCCAAATACTTTGAACCATACACTAGGTCCTAACCTCCAAACCCTAAACCCATCCTAAACCCTAAAGCCTAAACCCCCAAACCCTAGCCCCGAAACCCCAAACCCTAAACGCTAACCCTATAAGGGTGGTTCTCTAAATTAAGGTCCCCTTTTTAGGTCCCCCAATGTCCCCCAAAATAGTACGGCACCCTTATAAAAAGGAACCCCAAGAAGGGACCTACTTTAGAGAACTACCCATAAACCCTAAACCAGGAACCTGCTGCAAAGCTTCCTCACCGATGAGACCGCGAACTTCGAGGACAAGGAAGCTGGGACTTCCTTGCAAGGGTTCAGGGTCTAGGGTTTTTTTGGGGTTTAGGTTTTAGGGTTTAGGGTTTAGAGTTTTTGGGGTTTATGGTTTGGTCTAGGGTTTTTGGGGTTTAGGGTTTGGTCTAGGGTTTTTGGGGTTTAGGGTTTGTAGGGTTTATAGAGCCTATAGGGTTTATAGGATTCAGGGTTTAGGGTCTAGTCCCCAAAGTGTCTACTACAAGGGTACATGGACCCTGAGGGAAGGGGAGCTTGTAAGGATGACGACGCCGGCTTGCAGGCTGCAACATAGAGGTCGGATTCATTTCTGCTGATTATTCCGTCACAGTCTCTCTCCTCAGTGTACCATAAATATCTCCAAAAGCCCACCTAATCTGCTCACTAAGGCCCCAATATCATCATCATGTCATATCATGTTAGCAATTGCTACCTTCTGGCATTCACGTCATCAGAACGTTACAATTAAAGCTTTGTGGTGTCGCGACATTCCTAGCATTCGCTTGTGGTGTCTGCATCTGCAGGGGCAGGGGGGCCTTTTTCAAAGAACACAAATTCAGCCTTTGAGCAAAGCCCTAGGGCCCTTCCAAGCACCTGGATCACGCGAGACGGTTTGGAGTCGAGGGTTTAGGCTGTAGGGAAACCCTGACACCCTGAAGCCCTAAACCCTGAAGCCCTGAACCCCTAAGCCCTAAACCCTGAAGCCCTGAACCCCTAAGCCCTAAACCCTGAAATCCTAAAGCCCTAAGCCCGCAACCTTGACACCCTAAACTCCTGAGCCCTAAACCCAAAACCCCAACGCCCTAAGCCCTCACACCCTAAACCCCGAAGCCCCAAACCCTAGCCAGAGCCGACGGAGATCTTATGGTTCCTACCGCCTCTCCAAGAGGCCTGCAAGACCCAGATCACTTAAGGGTTTAGGGTGTAGGTAAACCCGAAACCCTAAACCCTGCACTTAAAAAAAACCCTAGACCCTAAACCCTAAACCGTTACAGTAGAAGCCAAAAAAATTGGAGCATCGTTACCCTCATGCCTTTGAAGTAAAGCAGCGGGAATCCCAGGACAAATCATCCTAAATCCATGTTCCAACTTTCTGGGGTTCAGTCTAGGTGAACTGCCAGGGTTTCGGGGTTTAGGGTTTAGGGTTTAGGGTTTGGGGGCGGCAGGTTAGAAGCCCTAGGGCTTTCAGTTTAGGGTGTCCGGTGCAGGGCTTGACGAGGGTTGGGGATTTAGGGGCTTCAGTTGAGGGTTCTGGGTTTTTACCCTAAACCCTAAACCCTAAACCCTAAACCCTAAACCCTAAACCCCAACCCTGAACCCCAGATCCTCAACCGTTTGCCCTTTCGGATTTCAGATCTGGGGCGTTTCACTTGACCCTATATAAGGGTCCAAGTACCTAGTAATCATAAACCCTAAACCCTAACCCACCGACCGTATCAGCCCTAAACCCATAAAGCCCTACCCTAAGGGTCCAAGTACTTAGTAATCATATACTCTCCCAAATATTGACCTTTAGGGGTTTAGGATGTAGGGTTTAGGGTTTAGGGTTTAACTGCTATCTGCAACCAAAGTACCTTATTCTTGGGTCCTTTGGACCCTTAGGGTGATGCCTGTGGGTAACTTAGCAATGCAACCCTCAGCCCAGGGCTTCATAGGTGTAGGGTGCAGGGCTTTGGTTCAGGGCTTCTAGGGTTTAGGTTTAGGGTTTAGGGGTTTAGGGGTTTAGGGTTTAGGGTTTAGGGTTTAGGGGTTTAGGGTTTAGGGTTTAGGGTTTAGGATTTAGGTTTGGGGCTTATAACAGGGCTCATGATGCGGGTTTCGGCGGTTTGGTGTTCTGAAATGTTTTATCGCAGGATTTACGGTTGTGAAGTTCAATTTGGCACACCCCAAAAAACCTTAAACCCTGAACCCTATACACTAAACCCCTAAACCCTAAACCCTACATCCCTAAAGCCCTAAATCCTAAACCCTAAACCCTAAACCCTAACCGCAAAGCATCCTAACACCCTTCCCTGGGTCAGCAATGTTCAACTTGTGCCCTGGCTCGAAGCCCACGGCCCCTTCACCTTAAGTCCGTTTAGGGCTTTGGGTTTAGGGTTTTGGGGTTAGGGTATAGGGCTTTAGGGGTGTAGGGTTTAGGGCTTTAGGGTTTAGGGCTTTAGGGTTTAGGGCTTTAGGGATGTAGGGTTTAGGGTTTAGGGGTTTAGGGTATAGGGTTTAGGGTTTAGGGGTGTTAGGGTTTGGGGTATAGGGTACAGTTAGGGCACTTGTACGTCGATTTATTACCTGCTTACTAGGTCGTACTAGGTCCTCCCTAGGTTATTTTGGGTTCAGGGAAACCTTCAAAGCCAAGCCCCCAAAGCCAAACGCCACTCCATCCGCTTCTCATCCAAGGAAGTCATCTGGCTGAAGTATGGGACCGCTTACCGAGCGATGTATACACTTTACGAGATAACCTTCGCTGGGAAACTTGGACTCCTTTTTAGGGGTGTAGGGTTTAGGTTTTAGGGTTTAGCTGGACAAGAAGGGCGTAGAGCCCTGTGATCCAGACTGGCCTACAAGCTTTTAACCCAAACCCTACCCCAGAACCTATTAAACCTTAAAGGCAACAGAAGCCATAAAGCCCAAACCCTAAACCCTGAAGCCCTGAACCCCTAAAGCCCTCAACCATCAAAACTCAAAAAAAGTATACCCCAAACCCTAAACCCCTGAACCCCAACAAGGAACTGGCCAACGAACTCGCGGCCGGTCCTGGAAAAGGTCAGCCACGCCTATGTTATCTTTTTCGTCGCTCTGACGGCTTTAGAAGGGTTTAGGGATTACTGTTTTGGGCGTCAGGGTTTTTAGTGCTTTAGGGCTCAACCCTAGATCCTAAACCCCAAATCCTAAACCCTGAAGGTTTAGAGTCTCGACCCTAAAGTCTAGTGACTGTAGGGTTGAACCCTGAACAAAGCTAAACCCTAGACACCATGTAAACAAACTTTTAAGCTCTTCAACCCTAAGCACTTAAAGTATCGTAAGCTCTCAGACCCTAAGCACGTCAAGCATCTTAAGCTCGTAAACCCTAAGCCCTTAAAGCATCTTAAGCTCTGAAACCCTAAATGCCAAAACGCAAAACCCTAAACCTTAAGCTCTTAACCCCTAAACCATAAACCCTAGACACTAAACCCTGAACCCCAAACTCTTAAACCCTAAACCCTAAACCGCAAACCCTGCACCCCATGACGGCCTGAAGCGCGAGGGCCCGGCTCTTGGAGGATCCTGGGGTGCGTTTAGGGGTGTGGGTGTAGGGGCTTAGGGGTTTAGGGTTTCACACCCAAGCCTCGACTTTGGTTGTTGGTGGCCAGGCCTGGCTTGCCTCCTTGCGCCTTGTCCTCTTGGGCCCTCCCCTTCGGTGCGCTCCCCGCGTCCTTCGCTTGTCTTCCGCACCGGGGCCCCGGGCCTCACTCCTCTGTGAGCCGTTGTCTTTCTTTCGCGTTTCACCTTCTCACCTTTCCTGCGGCAGCCATAGGGTTTAGGGCTCAGGCTTTTGGGGTTTAGGGGTTCAGGGTTTTTTTTGGGGTGTTTTACACAAGCCCTAGGGGTCCAAAGGACCTGGATAGTAGTTATCTAGGTTACATTTGGGGAGTGTATGACTAGTAGGTACTGAGATCCTTAGGGAAGGTTCTAGATATCAAGATCTGGGGTTTAGGCTCTAGGCTTTACAGGGCTTATAGGGTTTAGGCATTAGGCTCTGTAGGGTTCAGGGTTGAGGCTTTAGGCTTTACAGGGTTTAGGCTTTAGGCTCTATCGGGTTTAGGCTTTAGGGTTTAGGGTTGAGGGCTTAGCGTTTATATAGGGTCCAGGGTTTCGGGCTTAAGGTTTAGAACTGCTGCCCTAAACCCTAAACCCTAAACCCTAAACCCTTAAGGTTTAGAACTGCTGCATCGGCTGAACTGAAGTAATCGAATGACCTCTTTTGTGCAACTCTGGCTTGACGTTCAGGCTTTACCCTAAGGGTCCATGTACCCAAATAGATATACATTGGCCTTAAAGTAGTCCCTATATAAGTACTTTGGGGCCAATGTATATACTATTTGGGTACATGGACTCTCTGGGTTAGGGCTTAGAGTGTGGAGTCTTGTAGCTTAAATCATTGAGCCCTCCTTTCCACAGGGTCCTAAGTACCTAAAATGGGAATACTTGCCCAGATAAAAAGCAACAATTCCCACCCATAAATAATAAAACCGTATGTTCTACAAAATACGTAGGTAGGACCGCTTTGGGCTTTCAAGAACTCCACACTCAGCAGCCCTGACGTCACGTCTTGAGACTTGGAAAACTGTGTAATCCTGAAGATGATCTTGCTATTGACCCTAAGGCCGTAAAGCGGTTCCTGTATAGATACTTTAAAGACGACAATAAACACCATATAGCTGCACGGACCAATTGGGGTGAGAGGGGAATGATGCCAAAGAAGCAGCCGAGGTTTTATACATTACGGTGATTGCCTTCGCTGTGATACGTGTCATCAGCGCTGTGTTCTTGAAAGCCACTTGGTGCCGACTTGGATGTGTAATGTAGAGCCCCTAAAGGCCACTTGGTGGCGATTTGGATGTTTACTGTGAAGTCCCCTACACCCGAAACCCTAAACCCTAGACCCTAAACCCTTACGGGCTGTTGAAATCGCCCTTGAACCCTGGAGCCCTGAAGGACACTCTCGACGCTGCTCAAAATGATGCAGAACACATGGTCGTTGACAGACTGCGCAAAAAGGCGGAGTATGTGGAGAAGCTCCTCGTCCCGATGATAATATTTCCTTACCCTTGGTCAGGTAGGTTTTCGGGGTTAAAGGCGGGACTTGGTATTAGCTTGTGTGATTGTCGTTTGACAAATACCACCACATTCATTCTTGTAACCCTAAACCCCAAACCCCGAACCCTAAACACTGAATAACACGGAACCCCTAAACCCCAAATCCCTTAAATACACTAAACCTTAGACTCCTAATTCAGGGCGCGGCTTCATGACTGGACTGCCGGAGCTAAGAGGATCTGGGTCCTAGGTGTAATATTGCTGGCCTTAGAAGTTTTACCCAGGCTTTGGATGGTGTATGATTGGTGAAGAATAAGGGTTTGAGGAATAATGTTTGACGTGACACAGGCTTCTATCCAAACCCGCCAAAACCCCTTAATTAACGAATGTACCCCAAATCATTTTGGGGATCCCAATATATAATCTAAGGTATATTCCTTAGGTAAAGGATGTAGGAAGGTCTGGGTATATCATGCCCCTAAGCCATAAACCCTTTATTCCTTAGTAGAGGATGTAGGAAGGTCTGGGTATATCGGCAGGGCCCCGGACCGCTGGAGCAAATTGTGCCCTTGGGTTTTGGGCTCCTTTAATCTAAGGGTTTAGGGTTTAGGGTTTAGGGTCATTTAAAGGTTCCTTGCACCCTTACCCTCTAAGACTCTAAGGACTCATATTTTGAGGGCTTTTGGGCCCGAGGACCCTATTACATAAGGTTTTTGGGCTATTTTTTGATGCTAAGGGTAAGGGTTTCATAGGGGTACTGTGTAGCATTGGTTGGTCTGTCCCTGGGGGTTCTCCGGCAACAACTTTGTGTTCAGGACTTCGGAGCTTGGATTTCGGATGTGAATTTGGATCTTGGGCGATGACGACATGGTGATCGCGACATT